TCATACGAGGTGTGTTTCAAAAAGTACCCGGAATTACTAATAATTAAATTTTCGCGGGTCTGAGTGTCTGATTGTCAATTTTTTTTTATGGTGTTGGTATACATGCCCTAAAGTATGATGAAATTTTCAGCTATATTCACTGTTTACTTTTCGTGGTAGTCGCTAAGGTTCGACGTGTTTTTCTGAGCTCGGCGATTTTTACAATGGAAAATTGAAAAGTCAAAGAATTTGTATTAAATTTTGCGTAAAAAATGAAATAAAGTGTTGCAAAGTGCAAAATTCACCAGATATGGCTCCGTGTGACTTTTTCCTATTCCCAAAGTTGAAGAGACCCATGAAAGGAACGGCGGTTTTCCTCGATTGAAGAAAATCGCTGAGAGTGCTCAAGGACATATCAAAAATGAATATCAAGGGTGCTTCGAAAATTGGAAAAAACGCTGGCATAAGTGTATTATATCTGGGGGGACTACTTTGAAGGGGACCACATTAATGTAGACGAATAAATAAATATTTTTTGAAAAAACGAAATTCCGGGTACTTTTTGAACAGACCTCGTATATTAAAAAAATACTACAAAGATAAATAATATTTAGAGCAAAACACAATAATATTGAATTTGTTATTGAGAATACAATTTGCATCCAATTTACTGATTGTGAGTAAACATCTATTTTTGGGATTAAGAATTTCTTTTAATTTTAGATTAAGATTTTGTTATTGTAATATATCGTAACAAAAATATGTCAAAATTTAAAAATCATTTTATAAAGACCATAATGATATTTGTGGTATTGAGGTGGTGTTTACATTGGTCAAGAAAAAATCAATTTTAAGCAATTAATTAGCGCCAGAATCATTATAAATGGCTTTTAAAAGTCATATGCTCGACCGTTTAACAGTTTGATATGAATTTCATATAAATTCAATATAATTTGTAAATGTAGTATTAAGAGGGGAATTTGATAAATCGACCAACATTCATTTCATCTGCATTATCGAATTTGGGAAATAAATGGTATTTACATCGATCAAGAAAATAATCAATTTTAAATAATAAATTAACGCCAAAAACATTACAGAAGTCTTTTAAAAGTCATATCCTCAATCGATATAATAATTTCCAAATACTGTAATGAATTGCCAGTCTTTTTAAAATTTCAGTAAATTTATGAAAAAGGGTCGTAGACTTATGTTAGCATATATACATTTTTGATAAAGTATAATTAAAATTGATTTTTTGTTGATAAATCAGTTGAAATAACAGATAATATATGTTATATCTGAATTCAAATTTGAAGCAGAGTAATATATATTTTAAAATTGTATATACTATCAGTTCTTATAATCATTCTATATTATAATTAAAATTGGAATAAAAATTCAGGGGCCAATTCTCGGATAAAATAGAAATATTATGATAATTCTATGTTCTCTATCTTCGTATGAGTTGGTTAGGTATAAAATCTAACCTACAAAACGCACAACGATCAAATAACCCTTTTTTCGTAAGTACAACTTTCTTATGTCTCCTTGATAACACATACGTAAAGTTAGGTTTTGTGTGGAAAATGTCTGATCGCACAGTAATAACATAGGTTTTTACCAGTTCGTTATTACCAACTCATACGAAGATAGACCCATGACATAGCATTATGGTAACACTTGTATTTTATCCGAGTTTTGGCCTATTTGGTCATACGTTTGAAATGGAATTCAGAATCAGATTTGAGTCGTGGATTAATTGGACTGATTAAATTAATTTGAATGTTATTCTAAATTTGAAGCTTATATTAGGGTTGGGACAAATTGAGTGTTAATTCAAATTCGAATCATAATTTGGCCTTGCATTAAGTTGGCTAATAATTCTAATTGAAACCAAATTTTTCTTTAGTTCATTTGGATGGTGAATCAAATTTCAAGCTAATTGTGGACTTTCGTCAATTGGAGTGATTTTTCAAATTTGTGATAATTTTCCTCCTCACCATCGTAAATGATCGGTTCTTTCTCGCGGAAGTACGTCAGAGCCGGGAAGTTCTTGATGCCGTACTGCTTGGCGAGTCGTTTGTCGTTTATCTTCACGAAGTCAACTCCGAACTTATCAGTGTCGTCGTCGATTTTTTCCAACTCCTCCAGCACCTTGTCGCACGTCACACAACTCCTTGCATCTGAGAAAAAGAAAAAAAAATAATTTGATTGATTTAACCCGTTATTAACTAGAGAGTTAAATTCAGGAGAATCTATGTTGATCTTTCTTTATTTGATAGGACATATTTTGGATTTCTCCAAAGTTTATTAAACTATTTTGATTCGTAAACGAAAAATAATGATAATGTATTTTGTACTTGAAATTTAAATATAATCAACAAGAGTACAAGAGTACATTTTTTAGATGCTAAGGAAACTAATTGGTAATTTGGGCAAGTCATACTACGCAAAAACATACTCAAAATTCTATGATAGAAGAGATTTAATATTAACAGACCAAGAAAACGTGGAAGCAGAAGTTTGGAAAGTAAAATATAAAAAAATGAAATTATATATGATTTTTACACACCAGTAACCTGCCTGAGTCCACCATCATTTCTATATAAATATATAGTTAAAATGAGATAAATACTATTAATGCGTAATACTACACATTGTAGTTGTTAATAGACACTAGATTGATCTCATAGGGGAAAGTCCCGTAACGCCGGACGGCTCAAACACGGACACTCTGTTTAATACGTATTATTTAAGCGAGTATAAATCTTTTCATTTCAAAATACAAGTGAAAGGGGCATGGGGGGCACACAATTACCGGATCACGTGCCAAGCCTCGCCTGTGACGCACACGGTCACGGCGAGAGCAACCATTTTCTGTTTTAGGCGCAAAATCACGGCGTCACCTAAATATCAATGGAAGTAATTCTAGCATATTTATGCATTTACATTTGAGTGGCATGGAAATATAAAAGTTGTACTTGATTGGTATCCGTAAAATGGTAAAATATTATTAAATTTTTTAACCAATTTTAGTAGGTGCCACCAAATTAACGAAAATGTCTGTCCCTTAGCACCGGACACTAAGTCGTCCCTTTGTGCCAGACAGTAAACATATTGATATTTTTTATAAGAATTTACGTAATTTATTCCAATTATTGAATTTTGTTCTGTCTGAGTGCTAACGGTCACAACATACCCCCATTCTTGTTTATCTAGTCAACGAATGAAAATCTTATGATGAATGCTCCAGCTGAGAGCATCGGTAAATAGTGTTTTTTTGCAATATCTAAGAATATTCGTCAAAGACACATGTGCAAACATTCCAAAGTGTGGAGATGGCTACATATGTGATCAATGCAGGTTATTTTGAAATGTCCGGTACTAGGTGCCACTGTTTAAAATCATATTTTTTGTTACCAAAGCTTGATTGATAGTATTAATTACTTTTTAGCAAAGATTGCGGTTTTGTTAAATTAGTTTGATTTCTAACTTTGTTATCTAACAAAAATCATAATTTAATGAACATTTCGTAAAATATTTTCTGATTTATTTGTGAATAACCTTAGGTGTCCGCCCCCTACTTTTCCCTACTTGATACAAAATCGTCAATTGTCTTGTTGTTTGATTGTTTTAGATGATAGTGTTTAGATAGTATTTAGATCGCCAATTAGATTTGCTTTATTATTTCTCCAAATCGAGTCTAAATCGTGAGTCTATTACAATAAAATTTCCCCTTTTTCATTATCATGAGTATCAGAAATGTTTTTCCGATCGGCAATAGTAGTAGTTCGAGTGTCTAATGTCTAGTAGTGTTCGGTCGGCGGCATTGGCGTCCAATTTAGGAGATGCTCGAACTCAGAATAGCATCGGCCGGGCGGGAAATACGAACGCACGCGCTCTATAATATCATCATAATAGAGGTATGTTGTGTATTATATGAGATTACCTATCTTTTATACAAATTGAAAATCATTTGCAAAATGATATATTAAAAAAATCATGAGCTTTGGAAATTATAAACTGATGATGAACTAGTTGAAGGCAAATTGATGGAACTTTCCGTAATGTAATTAAACATTCGAAAAATAGAAATAATCAATATTACTAAAGACTGATGGAAGATTATTAATAACTATTCTAAATGTTTTCAAATACTATGGCACTTATTATTGGTATCTTATAGATTAAACTAAAATTTTCATTTTCGATTCTGTTGCTCTGGAGTAAGTTAATTCATAAGCAAATTAGAATTTGAAACAATTATGACAGCAATTCAAAACAATATTATTCTCAAAAATATAATACATTGTATAAACATTTCTCGCATATCTTAGGTATTGAAAGATTAAAAAAAAAAATTTCTTAACTTCAACTTTTGGTAAAGTTGGAAATAATCAATTTCTCGACAACATAATCGATCAAAATAAATATACATGCTTTCCCATGTACATCAAAATCATCTTCAAATGTTTATTATTTATGTAGATTTAATAATTAGTGGGCCAACTAGAAATGATATGGTAATGCTATGTCACGGGTCTATATTCGTATAAGATGGTAGTAACTAACTGTCAAAAATATATGTATTTTCTGTGCAATCAGTTGTTTCACATTTATTATCTAACCTACAAAACGCACAAACGTCAAATAATTTTATTATGACTGCATCTTTCTGATGTCTCTTTGATAACACGTATGTGAAGTTAGGTTTTATATGTCAAACTCTCGATCGAACAGAGAAATATTTTATCCGAAAATTGGCCCCAGGGTATTTCAAGCTAACTATTTCAAAAACTAATAATTTTCTATCGATCCAAACATATATACATCTTTACAAAAAAAAAACATGCATATACATACAATCTTTCTTAGAAATAAATAATCAGATTTGTCTGGTTTGAAATTTGCTTTTTTGTTTGTCAGATTTGAAATAAATGATCTGCCTGGCTTTTGCAATAATTTGATCCTTGCCAATTTTGTTTTTATTTACCCAAAATTTTATTTACGCTCAGTTTGTAAAACATGTCGTGTCAATTAAAAAAAAATACATTAAGTTCCTCATTATAAAAAAGATACAATTGTGCAAAACACTTCTCCTTGTGCCTTCCAGTTTTATGGATTTATTTTATATTTATTATACTAAACACCTTCACTAAATATTTTGCATTAATAAGTTAAATTTAATTACATTTTTACAAATAGACCTAAGTATGTACTTTTGAGTTTTGGAATGAGGCTTGTATTTTATTTCATTGTTGATATTGTAATGAATATGTAATGTTCTATGGTCAAAAACTAAACGTTATTACTTAGATAACACTCTGAGTTCTTTGGATTTTAATACAAGAGTTCAGATGCTTTTCTCAATTTTTGCCTAATCAAACTCCTTTAAAAACGCTCAATTTAACAAAAGATATTTTTGACAAAAATGTCACAAAAACAACAAATTCTTGGTACTTTGTTTTACAAGTATTTCACTTTTATTTTTATATTATTATTATATTATATTAATATATTATTAATATATTTTATATAATTATTTCTCTTTAGTTGAATTCAAGCTTTCACATAACTTACCCTGTTGCTAAATACTTCATAGCAACAGGGTGAGTACGTAGTTTGTATTGAAATATAATAAATAAGTAAAAAAAAAATTAAAATAATTTAATTGGTTTTTATAAATAAATAAACGGATGTGGAATCATAGAAACAAATTTACTGATAGGAATTAATTTGATTATAGAGTTGATTTTAGCAAGATCTATATTGATTTCAAATTCTTTCAAAGCATATGAAAGTAAATTTAAAAATTTTCAATAAACGACTGTAAGAGCAAAATTTATATAATGATATTAATCCATTAAATTAACATAATGAATATATAATTATAAAACGAGATGGAAACTGCATCGGACCCATATAATGAGTGACAAAATTTAAAAAAAAAATCGTCTTGATGAATAATTTGAAAATACACATAATTCTTCTCATTTATATAAAATCAATTTAAATATGATATATATAATTTTGTTTGAATTTCATTAAAGCAATATATAACATATGATTTCCCGACCTGTTGCTCTTGACATGTGTTATATATTTCTATCATTCAAGATAGAAGTCACATTAGCCGATGGAATGTTGCCAAAACTTTTAAAGTCATTCTGAATCATTCACCAGGATTGGCGGTATTGCTCTTAGATGTATTAAATTTCATTGAAAGTGAAATTTAATTGTTATGCAATTTGTTAGAGCAATAAGACAGAAACAAGCTCTCATTACAGCAAAATAAATTATCATCGTAGTACTTGAGATTAGAACTTTATTTATTTATCTCTATGAATTTTCTACCTATTTCCAGGTAAAAAATATGTTAAAAAATATGTAGTATTTATTCGTAATTATTTGTTATTTTATAAAATTCAATTACATCAATCATTAACCTTCTATAGTGAAAGCTCTCTTAACAATCTCTAAATAAAGATAACTTCAACTTTACTACATTATCTCTTACGATTATCGTTTAGTCTATATTTTATTTAGTTAAATATTTTCCAAGTATAAATTGTTATAGATCTAATTTCAACTTTTACTACATGCTATAATTATTTTACTACCGAAACATGATCTTTTCGAATACCACTGTCGAGAAAACAAATAAAATGTGAACACATCATTATACATTTTCACTTAGAAACGCACAGTTTACTTTGAAATTTATTAGCTGCCTGAAATGCCAAATAAATAGAAATGGGCATTTTACACGAATTTAAATATCAATACATCATTTAAAATATATGTTTACGTCTACAGATATATTTGCTTTCCATGAACCAGAATGTTAGAAATTTTCATATATTCTGGAAAAGGATATTCAAAGTAAAAATAACAAAATGATACTTAACAAAATTGTCAATGGCGAGTTCAGAACAAAATAAAAAATTTGTGTTTCTCTACATTTTGTTTAAATAAACTTAACAATGTAATAAATTTATTATTATATCCAAATGAATATTTCTCATATTGTTCTGCATGTTTGATGCTGCTTTGCAGAATTTTTAATTTCAGTCTGTTTATAAAAATATTTTATATGATTACATTTTTATAGTAGAATGCAATTGTATTTATAGATAGATTTTATTATGCCATATTTGACTTTTTAGTAAAATGCATTTCTAAA